AACGTCTAGTGAACGCAATGTTCGCAGATCAGATCGGTAAGAATATGGAGGTGTATATCGACGACATGCTCGTCAAAAGTGTCAAGGTCTCGGACCACCTAACTGATCTGGATCAGTGCTTCGCTACCCTGCGAAAATACAAAATGAAACTCAACCCCCTCAAATGCTCGTTCGGAGTTCGAGGTGGCAAATTTTTGGGATACATGATTTCACAGCGGGGAATCGAAGCTAATCCCGCGAAAATCGAAGCAATTACCTCCATGCCTCCACCAACATCTATCAAGAAAGTCCAACAGCTTAACGGTTGTTTGGCTTCTTTGAATAGATTCATTTCTCGATCAGCGGACAAGGCCCTCCCCTTCTTCAAAATTTTAAGGGGAGGAAAGAAATTTGAATGGGATGAAGCATGCCAAAAGGCCTTCACTGAGCTAAAGTCATATCTCGCATCACCACCCTTGCTCACAAAACCTCAGCCGGGAGACACCCTCATGCTGTACTTAGCTACCTCGGCTAACGCCATCAGCGCAGTCCTCATCCGAGATGGCGGAAATGACCACCAAACCATATACTACATAAGTCGCGCCCTCCAAGGAGCCGAACAACGCTACACCAACATGGAGAAACTCGCTCTCGCTCTCATCAACGCAGCTCGGAAGCTTCGACGTTACTTCCAGTCACATCAGGTGGTGGTTCTCACCAATTATCCTCTGAAGCAAGTACTAAGGAGTCCTGAGACATCCGGGCGATTAGCAAAATGGGCGATAGAGCTAAGCGAATATGGGGTCGAATTCAAACCCCGCCCAGCTATCAAAGCGCAAGTATTGGCTGACTTTCTAGTCGAAATGACCTCTGTAGAAGAAAGCACCTCTCTACCTACTTGGTCTGTCAGCGTCGATGGATCTTCCACTGCCATAGGAGGTGGAGCGGGTATCGTCCTAACGAACCCCGACGTAGACGAATTCGAATATGCTCAACGATTCGAATTCACAGCCTCAAACAACGTTGCTGAATACGAAGCACTGATAGCGGGAATCCGTCTCGCCCTAGCAGCCGGAGCGCGCAAGCTCCTAATCCAAAGCGATTCTCAGCTCATCGTCAATCAAATCCTCGGAACTTACGAGGCTAAAGAAGACACCATGGTGAAATATTTAGCTCTCGCGCACACTCTCTTATCTAAATTCGAGAGCTACGAGATAAGACAAGTACCTCGCTCCAATAACGTCCACGCTGACAAAATTAGCTAGGCTTGGAAGCTCCATGGCTAGCATCGGAAGTCAGAAGGTGACGCTCCTCACCTCACCTCAGCCGGAGATAACTTCACCCACTGACGTACAGTACACCGAGGAGGATGAACCATGCTGGTTCACTCCAATCCTGAAGTATCTCAAGAAGGGAGAACTTCCAACGGATCCCACCGAAGCACGAAAGTTAAAGACGAGAGTCGCTCGCTTCATCATAGTGGGAGAAGAATTATACAAACGAGGGTTCTCATTCCCCAATCTCAAGTGCCTTGACCCGACCATAGCGGATTACGTACTTAGAGAAGTACACGAAGGCATTTGTGGCAATCACTTGAGCGGGAGGACCTTAGCTCTCAAACTACTGAGGCAAGGATACTATTGGCCAACGATGCATGAAGATGCAAAGAAGTTAGTCCGGAAGTGTAAGCCTTGCCAAGAGCATGCAAATATTCCTCACCTGCCAGCGGCATTAATGCAACCAATTGACAGCCCCATCCCCTTCGCTCAATGGGGAATGGATTTAGTTGGACCATTCCCGCCCGCCACAGGAGGACGTAAATACCTCATTGTAGCAGTGGACTACTTCACCAAATGGGTGGAAGCTGAACCCTTAGCACGCATCCGAGAAGAAGAAGTCATCCAATTTCTATGGAAAAACATCGTGTGCCGCTTCGGAATCCCACGTTCCATCATCTCGGATAATGGAACCCAATTTTGCGGTGACAAAGTAAACAATTGGTGCCTCGGTTTAGACATCAAACAGTTCTTCACATCGGTAGCAAATCCACAAGCCAATGGCCATACAGAGGTTACAAATCGCACTATCCTCCAACACCTTAAGACAAGGCAGGGAAGTGCCAAAGGAAAATGGGTGGAAGAATTGCCTAACGCCCTATGGGCTTATCGCACAACCCCACGCACAGCAACCGGAGAGTCGCCTTTCAATCTAGCTTTCGGCACAGAAGCTATAGTACCCGTTGAAATAGGTGAACCGTCTTGGAGAATCATCAATTATGATCCAACAGCTAATGAAGAAGCTATGCGAGGAAGCCTTGACCTTGTAGATGAGCTACGAGAGATCGCATACATCCGGCAACTGATGTATAAGTCACGCATGGCCAAGGCATATAACTCAAAGGTCCGTCCTCGCTCCTTTCAAGTGGGGGATTTAGTCCTCCGAAAAGCTGAAGCCTCTCACCCCATTGGCAAGCTCGACCCAAAGTGGGAAGGACCATATAAAATCACAAAAGTGGTCAACACTGGAGCATATCGCCTCGAGAACATTGATGGACACCCTATACCCAGAACATGGAATAAAGGGAACCTCAAACGGTTCTACGCTTAAGGTATACATCTACCTTACTTCAGATCAGTTGAGGTCACCATCCATACCCCTTCTATATGAAAGGTTACTTACAAATTGTCACATCTGCAGGCTCCGCGACCTTCTACATGGTTAGAAATTTTCTACTACATAACTAGGTGCGTTAACATCCTACCAAAACTGGGGGGCTAGTAAATTTATTTTCACCAGCAATTCATCATCACATCCCACCATCTTATTACAGATTGAGAGCCAATTATGAGGGGATACATATTACTCAATCAACGGCCCAAAGAGCGAGAACACTCCATACCACATTGCCACGGGTAACGATACTTCCACTAGAATACACCATAGGCATGCTCTTGGGTACTCATACTAACGTGAAAAAATAGTTCCACTAGCAGGCATGATCATATAGCAACTCACAACAACCCACGAGTTGATTTCATATCTCGTAGTGCGAAAAAAAGAAAACAACCCCCGTAGTAGGGTACGTGAAAATGCCACACACACCACCACAACTTCAATTACTAAACCCTCAATACAAATGTTTAAAAGAATCCTCTTTTTCTCAATTATACTTGACAGTCATAGAGACGCCAAAAGAAGTCAATCTACCATCAGCACAGTAAAACGAACGAGTACAAGGAAGAAGTAGAAGATGAACAAGTGTAATACAATCACTTACAAGAATTTTTATCGTCAATTTATTTATTTTAGCAGTATTTATTTACCTTCGCCTCACGTAGGCATATCGCATTAGCTATTTATTCACATCCGCCTCACATAGGCTTATATCAATGCACTTTTGTTACCATTGAATTAATCAAATTTATTTTTGCTTTACTCTCGGTGATATTACATCTACACGAATCACCTATCACCATGAGCTCAATTCAATAACCTTACAAACGAGGTGCTACTTTTAAAACGTGGCCACGGACAAATATATTTAAGACCCAAGCGGTCCAAAAAAAGGGCACGACCCTTAACAAAAACCTTGGGAGACTGATCCCCTCCTCAAGTACATCGCGTACAATGCTAAATGTAAATACATATAAGCAGCGTATTAACTCTTGACAATGTCAAAATAAATAATTCAAGATATCAAACTTCAAATGTCAAACAAGGAAGAAATTCAAACGAAATAGTAGAGGACATACCCATCTACATTAGCGATAAAAATAAACTAAGAATCCAAAAAAAAAAACATAATAATAAAAATGAGTTTAACTATCCTAACAAATAAATCTAAACTCCCCCACTGCGGGCGGACGACGTCCCCACAGTGGGATCATCAGCAACCATATCAGCCACAAGCTCTGTGCCTGTCCCGTCGACATCTACCTCATCATCCTCTCCATCCGAGATACCAGCCTCCATCCCTCGAATCACCTTCTCACTGATACCACCCGCATTGCGACACTACCTCGGAAGCTAAGCTTGGTTTCCTCCACGATGGACTCCCTATAAGCCGCACCACCTGATGTCGCGAGGAACCTATTCCCCGTCGCCTTCTCGACTTCGTATTTCTCCTTGAGCTGATCATAGCACTAGTTCAACTTATGAACATCATCCTTATACGCCTTCACGTCCCCTCGGATAACCTCGAGCTCTTGTGTCCTTTGAGCAAGCTCTTCTGTCCGTTGAGCGAGATCGGACCGCGCTATCTCCAACTGGCTTAGAAGTTCATCCTAACGCGTCTGACTTCGAACTCGTTCCTCTTCCTTCCTTGCTTCCACATTCCTACCATGCTCTACGAGATATCTCCAAGTCGCTACCAACTAAAAAAAAAAAAAAGTTTTACACAAGGAAGAGAGGAAGTAACATCTAATCTTGTTTTAAATAAACAAGGACTCACCCGACATATGTCCCCACCGGCTAACTCCAACATGTGAGAAGGGCCCTTACCAGACATTCGAGCACGGTCATACTCCCGAACGAATCCCTCGGTACTCAACATAGGCAGATCATGGTCCGACACATCCCAATACGACTCCTTACCGTCGCGATTCACACCATAGGTAAACAATTGTTTCTCTCCCCCACCTTGGAAAGCATAGGTCTCCTCTGGGTCTACCCGTGGACGCTTAGGCACAGCCACATATTCCGTATCCACCCTCTTTCCCTTGCCACGATCCCTCGTCGGTGGACGCCCCTCCACTTCACCAGCACTGCTACGGTCATCTGCGACTACTCGAGGACTTTTTACATGGACCTCCTCACGAGGCAAACCATTTGAAGAACCTCCCAACATAGAGGGAACCTTCTTCGACGCCTTCTTCGACGACCCATTCGCCTTAGCTCGAAGATAACAAACACATAAGAAACATGGGGTATACACTACCAAAGAACTACAAAAAAAAAAAACACAAGTCAAGGCAACAAAAGGATATACGATGCTGACCCTTCGCCGTCGATATCAAACCCCTCGGATCAAATGCCACATCACACAACCCAGATTCCTCAATCCTCTTCGCCATATTCGCAGTTATCGTGAAACTCTCGCACGTAGGATTCCAAACTACGGGAACGTCAAAAGTGGGAGCCCTCACATAAAAAAACGGGAACGTCAAAAGTGGGAGCCCTCACATAAAAAAAAATAGGTCTTCCATTTCCCCAAAGATAACTTCACACTCTTCACGAATTGGTAAGGAACGCGAGGATGAAAACAAAAGAAAGGCATCTTATTGGGCCGATGTAACGTAAATAACGCCTTAAATAAACTCACAGACACAGGCAGACCTACTCGAACCACCCTAAAATGAAACGCCTGGAACATCAGAACAACAGTGGGCGTTAGCTGACTATACCCAATCTTGAATTCCTCGCAAACCTTCAACAATGTGAGATGCGGTGTAATCTGAGATGTGCACGTCAAGTACCCCAAAAATACCGTATGAAACCCATCGGGTGGCGAATACAAACGGTCTCCCTTCCGAGGCAACAACAACTCGACATTACTCGGCGCTCCAGATAAACGACGAATAGAATGCAAATGCTCTTCCGTCAATACACTATCAAAATTAACTAAGTCCAAATTAATTGGCTTATTTTTCTTTTGCCTCCTCGTGTCAACCTCAACATCACCTGGCGGAATATCATCTTCCTCCTCCTCTTCATCCGTCAGCTCAACTTCACTACTTGGCTCCGCATGATCACTCGCCAAAGGAGCTTGATTCGAATCATCACTATTGCTCCCAAAATCTACGACTCGACGCCCATAGCGACGTCTACTGGAATCCGCTTCATCAACAGTAGGGCAAATATTAACATTGTTACGCACTTCTACATCGTCACTCCACGATTCAATGATTTCTCGCCGACTAAAACTTCCCCCGTTTAAAACACCACGCGAATCAGCACCCTCGGAAATTTGCCCATCAATTTCGCCCGAACCGGGCTCAAAACCGGGCTGTAACGCGCCCTCACGCGCGCGTGCGTCACCTGCCTGCCCCGAGACACGTGCCCCCCCCCCCCCCATTGGACCCCGCGCGCGTGTCCGCTTCACTCGACCCACCAGACGCGCGCGCGCGTCTCTGCACCTCCCGCCCAGTCACGCGTCCGCCGTCGCCACATGGACCAATGGCGCGCGCGCGTCCACCTAACCCGCCAACCGACGCGCGCGCGCCTCTTCCTCTCTCCTCCACCGACGCGCGCGTGCGTCTATGGGATGGCGTGCCCGACGCGCGTCCCACCTCAGCAATATCTCTTTCTCTCCTCTTCTTGGAAACGGTGCAAGCCTCCACATCAGCAGCTAGGCTTGGCTCCACACCTTCCTCGAAGCGCGCGCCCTCACACAAATTGAGAGGCTTGGCTCCGCGGCTCGAGCCGACAGCCATATCAACCCTACCAACCACCATCATTTTCGCCTGGATCCGTGCACTAGCCGACTCGGATCCGGTTTCTACACCCGGTACAACTACCTTCGCGCTCCCCATACCCACACTACCAAAAGTTTTCTCGCTCCCTTCAACTGGATCTCGAAGTTTAATTCGTAAAGATTTCGAATTACCCGGATTCGACATGACTAATTTTTCTCCGCACAAAAAATCAAAAAACAAAAAATTTTCTACTCTACCACAAAAAAAATTTCAAGAGAAGAACAACACATAAGAAGACCTAGAATTCAAAGAACATACCCATATTTATTGCACGAGTTGAGGTTTAATTCTTTCTACCGCAAAAGGAGTCTATTTATCTGGCCCTGGTATAATATTTAAAACCCTTAAATATATACTTCGCTGCCAAATAAATACAATTATCCTTTATTTAAATTAAGGAATTATTTCACCGCCAACGGAAACTATTCAATCCACGACGCAATTAACTCTCGACACGACCCGGAACCCTCTACACAAGTCTCCATCTCGACTCGAGAGTTGGGGGGGCTTAATGATATACCCCAATGGGCCGGCCCAATGGGCCCTCAAATATATCTACTAATTAGGCCCACTACACGAAAGCCCAAATACCTTCAAAGTATGGCTTGGGCCCAACAAAGTAACCCAACCCAATCACCGATATATAAATAGGTGTTTTACTCATTTGTAAAGGTACGTTCTAATTATTGGCAATCCATCTCGAGTTTAATTCTCTCTACTCTCTCTACGATTCGTACATCTGACTTGAGCGTCGGAGGGGTTTCCGCCGGATCAACCCCCGGCTTAGTTCACGTGTGCTCTTTTCGCAAGGACCTCAGGATTATCAAGTTGTCAAGCTACTGATCCGCTTTGCTCTCCCAGCTCATTTTCTACACCACCCTAGGTGAGCTATATTTTAGCGTCATCAAATTGCTATAAATTAGTTGAACAATTCTTGAATGTTGATCGTATGCTAGAGGGACAAAGGGGGAATAAAGAGGAATAATAAGGCCACCGGCGGCTGTGGTGGCAACACGGCCGGGAATGTGCCACAACCGCCGCTGAGTGTGATGATCTCCGGCGAAGCTGGCTTGACCAGGTTGTTGTTGATGATCCATAATTATTATTAAACAAAAAGGGCGAATGGCAAAAAGACCCATCACATGGGATTTAAATGCATTTTAGTCCAAAAAAAAACAGTCTCTCAATTAAACCCATCCACATGTCTTTAGTCCAAAATATCCTCCATAATATAATTCTTATCAATTCCATTCATAATGCTCTAACTTCCTTAATATTATACATTGACCCCGAATTTAAACAAATATATCACATGTTTTTCTGGCCCGATTCCGGCGTTGACCGCCGGAGACCGCCGGTCTCCAGGGTTGACTTTTTTTTTTTTTTGGAAAACGTTTTTTTTTCCAAACATGTTTTTCCGGCCGGTCAACCAGCGTTGACCGCCAGTCCCCCGGCGTTGATTTTTTTTTTTACTATTTTCCCGAAATGTAATAATACTAATATTATTGTCTAAGACAGTTAAATTAGTGTTGGAGACAGTAATTTAGCAGCCAATGCAGTAAATATTAATTAAAATAACTTTTTTGTAAGAAAAAAAAAAAAAAGTCAATTAACAGTTAAATTACTGTCTCCGACAATTAAATAACTGCTGGACAGTAATTTAGCAACGATTACTGTAATATTAATTAAACATATTTTTTTTAAGAATAAAAAAATCAATTAACAATTAAATTACTGTCTCCGACAGTTAAATAACTGCTGGAAACATTAATTTAACAACGAATACAGTAATATTAATTAAAAATATTTTTTTTAAGAATAAAAAAGTCAATTAACAGTTAAATTACTGTCTCCGACAGTTAAATAACTGCCAGAGACAGTAATTTAGCAACGAATACAGTAATATTAATTAAAATATTTTTGAAGAAAAAAAAAGTCAATTTACAGTTAAATTAATGTCTCCGACAGTTAAATAACTGCCGGAGACAGTAATTTAGCAGCCAAGACAGTAATATTAATTAAAATATTTCTTTTAAGAAAAAAAAATTAAAAAAAAAAAAAAAAGTCAACGCCGGAGACCCGGCGGTCAACGGCAGTTGACCGGCCGGAAAAAAAATTCTGGTAAAAAAAACTTTCAAAAAAAAAAAAAGTCAATGGCAGTCTACAGCGGTCTCCGGCGGTCAACGCCGGTCAATGGCGGTCTCCTGTGGTGGCAGGTCAAAATTGAAATTATGGTTAAAATTGGTTAATTGATGAAATTGGGTTAAATTGGGGTGTAAATCATGAAATTGGAGGTGAATTTGATTTCAATGAATTGAGGGTAATTTTGGTATATATAAAAGGATTTTCCTTATTTGCAAATAAGTTTGAATGGGCTGGATTTATTTGAAAAACAAAAAAGTTGGATGTCCCTTTTTTAATTAAGTGCCCTTGTCATGGGCCTATATGCCATTTACCTAAAAAATAATAAAAAATTTGTGTGTGAGTTGGAACGTAATATTGTGTCCTATTTATAATATTTAAGATTGATTCTATGTTTTGTACGCTAAAATAGAGTCATTTGTATTAATGTAGTAGGAGTTTGAACCTAGCTAGCTATATGTCTTTCTTTATAGGATATATTACAACCAACCCCTGAGGTATGGTCAAATTATGAAAACCCCCCTGCTAAGGGTGGAGGTGTAAGAAAAAATCATAGTTGAGGGGTAGATGTAATTATCCAAACAAGAGGGTTTTTTTTTCGTAAATGAACCATACCTAGGGGTGGAAATCGGACGGATCGGATCGGATTTGGGTGTTTCGGAAATTTTCCGATTTTTTTCGGAAGACTAAAATGACTTCCGATTCCGATTCCGATTTTTTCGGAATTCAAGAATCGATTCCGATTCTGATTTTTTCGGAAATTTCGGAAAATCGGAATTTTTCGGAATCATTCATTTTCGGAATTTTTTCGGAATATTTTCGGAATACCAGGATTTAATAAAGAAAAAAAATGAAAACAGAATAAAGGGCGGCGGGGCTAGTGCTCGTCGAGAGAACGAGAGCGGCGTGGCGGAGAGAACGAGGGCGGTGGGGCTGGTGCTCTGCGGAGAGAACGAGGGCGGCGGGGCTGGTTTTCGGTGGAGAGAAAGAGGGCGGTGTTGCCGGTTCAAGGCTGAGAGAATGACGGAGGCAGCGCTGGTGCTTGACGGAGAGGAAGAGGCGGAGCGGGTGGTGGTTGACGGAGAATCGAGGGTGGTTTTAGGGTTAGAATTTACATTTTAATTGTTTAGAAAATAAAGTAATAAATAATAATATATTTGTACGGTGTTACTAGTTAGTGTGTGTGTGTGTCTATATATATATATATATATATATATATATATATATATATATATATATATATTTGGAAATATTCGGAAATAATCGGAAATAATTTCGGATCGGAATTCGGAAATTCCAAAATTCTGTAATGTATTTCCGATTCCGATCCGATTTTTTTCGGAAATTTTGGAATTCAGAATTTCGGAATTCGGAATTGAAAAAATCCTTCCAAAATTGGAATTTTTCGGATCGGATTCGGCGGAAATCGGAAATTTTGTTCCGATTTCCACCCCTAACCATACCTCAAGGTGTGGTTGTAATTTACCCTGCTTTTATACTTAGCTGCTATTGTGCACGGACGTGGATACGCAAACACGGCGATACGCGGATATGAATATACTCTAAAAATATAGGGGTACATTTATAAATTGTAAGAAGATATTTATAAGGCGCCAAATGGCGTAAGAGAACGGCTCGCCCTTACTGCTCGTGTTCTTGGTCGCAGAGTTTTGGACTTTTGGTTGAACTCTCAAAGAAGACAGGAATATGTGGTATTAGAAAGAAAAGAAAATGCATTTTTTTTTATTAGGGCTTTAATTTCTCTTAAAACATAAGAGACGTGTCCCCATTTTTTAAAATTGCGGAAACTGTCTGACACGGGTATCCTTATAGCGAAATTACGACACAAGTGTCTGAAGCGTGTCCGAGTGTCTAGGTGTCGGATACGGGGACTCTGCACCTTCTAGATGTGTCCGTGTAGCATAGCTTAATAATGTAAAGAGCCCATTATATATATATATATATATGTATATTGTTTTTTTTTTTTTAGAAATTCAAATCTTCTTACAAATTGGGAAAGTAGGGCAAAGACATAATTCGAAACTCACTCTATAATAAAATTCGAGTTCACCAAAATAGTCAGACTCGGCTCGTTTATACCACTATTCTTGCCGTAATGCTCTCCTTTTAAATTAGGAAAATATTTTGGATATCGTTGTAATTTATAACACGATACCTCTTGAATCCTTATTATATTTTTTTTTTTTTACCTTTTGTTATTTTTTTAAAGGGATTATTTGTCAAAACCCCCTCATCACATAAGTGCAATTACAATGAACCCAAATTTATTTCTTAATTTTAAGATAAATCCAAAATATATTTTATTAATAAAAATTAATTAAGTATCACAATTATACCCCTACCTTATTATAAATATACCTAATATTTGTTCCCTTAATATCACGTTCTCAATCACAACCACAAATCCCGCTCCACAAATCCTTTTTTTCTCTCTAGATTTTATTTTTCCTTTTTTTTTTTCTATTCACCGTTGCATCTCTCCTTCCGATCAACTCTTCTTCTCTCCCCACCGGCGGTACCCCAGCCTCCACCCGGCGACTGCCCAGCCCCCATCGGCCCTACCCCAGCCTCCACCGGCGACCCCCAGCCCCACATGGCGCCGCCTCAGCCCCCATCCGGCGCCGCCCCATCCCCCACCGGCGCCGCCCCGGCCCCTACCCCTAGTTCCTCTCTCTTCACCGTCGTCGAACGATATTTATGTTGTGGTAGAAAAATGGAGAAAAGGAATGGCAGAAGACGGTGAGGAAGTGTTTGCTACTCCAATAAATTTGGTGTAACACCATCTCTCCAATATTTTTGAGGGGTATGTGTATGTATTGTTCGTGCTCTGTATTGGGGTTGACATATATATATGCCATACTAGTTGATTGAATATATCAATTATAATGCATTTATCGATCTGCACGACTATTGTGATTTATGTGGAAAAGAACAAGCATATATTTCCAGCTTCAAGATTGGAGGTAAACTCTATCTCTAGTTTTTTTCACTATACTCGGTAACCTTATACGATTTTTTTTTTACCTTCTTCCGTTTGATTGTAAATCCTGGTGTCTTCATTGTGCAGATATACGATCCGACAAAGAAATGGGAGCGATACACTATCCAGGGCGATTGATATATGCGTTGGGTCGATTGAGAATACGAGGTTTCAAGTCAGGGTTTTCACTGAAATTTGATGTTCCCTTCATAGAATTTATAGTGGTTTCCGATAAAAGTAGGTGGTTTTGTTGTTTTTGTTAAATGTTTAGTCGTTTTTTTTTTTTTGTCATATACGTTAATAGTGAATTTTATTTAGTAGTGGATTTGCGTTAATTTAATAGTGGATATACCTTTTTTTAATAGTGGTTTACGTCGAACTATTTTTTTTGTAGTGCGTGAAGTTAATGATATAGTGGATTCCGATAAGTTTGTAGTGTGGATTACGTTAATTTTATATTTCGATTAAATTAATTTCATAGTGGATTTCGATAATTTTAAGGTGGATTTCGATAAATTTATAGTATATTTCGATAAATTTATAGCGGATTTCGATAAATTTATAGTGGATTTCGATAAATTTATAGTGTATTTCGATAAATATATAGCGGATTTCGATAAATATGTAGTGGATTTTGATAAATTTCTAGTGGATTTCGAGAAATTTGTAGTAAATTTCGATAAATATATAACAGATTTCGATAAATATGTAGTGGATTTTAATTTGATGAGCTCGTAGAAAAATAAAAAGAAAAAGTTATAAAAAATTGTAAAAAACAAAAAAAAAAAAAAAAAACATTAATCGAAATTTAAAAAAAAAATGAAAAAAAGACAATTTAATAAAATATTTTATTTCCAAAAAAAATGAAAAGAAATCAAAAACCAATTTTTTAAAAATTAAAATTGGAAAACCGAAAAGAAAAATAAAACCAACTTTTTATAATAAAAAAAGAAATATATAAATAAGAAAATAAAATTTAAAATAAAAATAAATATAAAACAGAATTAAAAATATATATAAAAATAAGGGTAAATTACACCCACACCCCTGAGGTATGCTTAAATAACTGTAAGGTCCCTATGGTATCGATAATTACACTCACCCCCATGAAAGGTAGTTAAAAACTCTAACGTGATAATGCATTAGATACATTATTCCGATAGGGTTCTAATGGACTATTACTTTTAGCTAGTTGAGGAGATAACATAGAGTTATAGGGAGTTATGGGATGACATGGCTCCCCCATTATTTCTTAAATCACCCATAATTTTTTGTTGTCTTCACCACTTCCTGAAACCAATAGTTCGTTAGAACTCCATCGTAATAACGTATCCAATGCATTATACCATTAGAGTTTTTAACTACCTTTCAGGGGGGTGAGTGTAATTATCGATACCACAGGGACCTTACAGTTATTTAAGCATACCTCAGGGGTGTGGGTGTAATTTACCCTAAGAATAAAGAAATCCAAAAGATACAAAGTTGTGATAATTAAGGTAATCTAAGCCCAATGAGTTTAGTTAGGGTATTTTGGGTAATTTGAGGCCATTGGACTTATGTCAAAAATCTAATTAAAATTTGGATTTATCAAGAAGTCAAAATGCAATGGAGGGTGTTATCAAATAGCCCATGTTTTAAAACGCAAGAAAATTAAAAGTAAGGTTGATTGACGACCTGACTTAAATGCAATCGTATCCCCACTTCAGTTCATAAAAAAAACCAACCACATGTCTTTTGACGAAACTACCCTCCCTTATATTCAAAACAGATGTCGGGCTCCCCCACTTGTTCTTCCAACTCGCTTCTCTCTCCACAACGGCTCCCCACCCATGACTTCTCAATACTTCCGACTGTTTCTCCCTCACCAAAACAGAACAAAAATCACTTTCTCTTCCCCAAAAATATAAGCAAATCATCTCTGAGGCTTCCATTTCCACAACTATTTTGCATTTTAAAGACATTGTCGTTGAAAAAATTTTCCTAACGACGCACAAAGTTACTATTAGACACGGAAGCACTAGTAGAAAAACGAATTTTTACTACGACCATTAACCGTAGTAAAATGTATCAAATTCGTAGTAAAAAGGCTTTTGCTACGAATTTCCCTCATAGCATATACGGGCGTGACAAAAGCTTTGCTACGGTAAATGGCCGTAGCAAATACTAGAGTAAATCCTAGCATTTACTACGACTCCAAGATTGTCCCGTAACAAGAGATACCTTTTGTAACGACTTTTTACCGCAACAGAAAAAATCGTAGAAATTTTGTTAACACTACGAATGATTCATACACTGAGTTTCATTTTCTAACTGCAATTTTTGCACCCACGGTAATATATACTAGGTTTTTTTCTTGTGGTATTCGTGATTGAAACACTAATATTATTAGGGTTGTCGGTAAAATTGTTGTGCTAAATGATTTTCTGGTATGGTAATGTGATTTTGTTTTTGTTTGTATTTCAAAAATTCCAAATATATCCAAAAATATCCCAAAAATAAATCCGAAAACGAATAATACCACAAAAAATAACAATTACTAGTTTATTTATAATTTGACTTTAGTTCAGAGGATTTCTTGTTAACCAAATCGGCGTCACAATGCCAATTTTTGTTAACCAAATCGGTGACACAACGCCGACTTTACAAGTTAAAATCGGCGTTGTAACGCCGTTTTTTTTTATGATTTTTTTTATTTGGTTTTGAATTTCATTAAGGGTAAATTAGTATTTTTATGTTGGAGGTCTTGAACTAATAAAAAAATGGGCTTGCATATATTCGCCGCCATAAATTTATTTATAATTTGACTTTAGTTCAGAGGATTTCTTGTAATTTTTTACCCTAAATTATATATACACATGACTTTTGACATTTCAACCTAGCTAGCAAGTTAAGGTAACCTGCAATAGTAGGTTGGTGGACCAAATTTGGATTTTTCGTAAGTTAGATGACCGGAACCTTATATTTGAAACATGGTAGGACTAACTCTCGCATAAGGAAAACTTATTGGACCAAATAATCATTTATGTATTATATTTTTGAATCCCAAGTTGAACAACTTTCATCCAACAAAATTACATTATATCATCATATCTTCAACTAATACATGCATAAAAACAATTTTCTTCATTTATAATGAAGTGCTTCAGATTAATTTTAGCAGCATTCCCACAATATTCCTTGAAATTTTACGATTTTCTTCCTTGTACAATACCATGCTTACGAGTACTAATACTCGAGTCTTTTTGAAACTCCTGCAGTTCGCACAACGAATCCATGCGTTAGAAGCTGAATTATGAGCATAAATGGAGCTAGAGTTCTTTTTTTCATGTTATTTATACATCAAACTTGTACTTACGAACATGTATAAACTTAAACGAATTACGTTGTCATTTGATGGAATAATAATAATAATAATAATAATAATAATAATAATAATAATAATAATAATAATAATAATAATAATAATAATAATAATAATAATAATAATAATAATAATAATAATAATAATAATAATAATAATAATAATAATAATAATAATAATAATAGTAATAATAATAATAATAATAATAATAATAATAATAATAATAATAATAATAATAATAATAATAATAATAATAATAATAATAATAATAATAATAATAATAATAATAATAATAATAATAATAATAATAATAAAAAGGGTAAATTACACTTACACCCCTGAGGTATGCTAAAATAATTTTTAGGGTCCCTATGGTATTGATAATTACAATCACACCCCCTGAAACAATCACGGTAGCCAAGATTTCATGTCCTAGGGACCAATATGCACTATATTTGTTTTCTGCGGAGACGTTAATGCTACCATAGACCCAAATTTATAAATCTTATATAAAATATAATAAGAATTTAAGACATGCTGGAGGAACCATGCCACTCCTTAACTCTATGTTGTGTCTGCCATTACCTGAAACTAATAGTCTCGTAGAACCCTAACGGAATAACTTATCCAAAACAATTATTTTGTTGGGGTTTCTAACAATGTTTCAGCAAGGTGATTGTAATTACTAATACCATAGGGACATTAAAGTGATTTTAGCATACCTCAAGGTATAGGTGTAATTTGCCCTAATAAAATTTTAAATAATTAAACAATGAAAAACTTGTCCAAGAAAATATACCCTTATCAATAAATAATACACAAATACCGTGTGTTTGATAGCCATGTCCAATGAAGTTTTCGACATCAATCTTCCAAAACCAGAGCTCTCATTTACCTTAATCTTTGCACTCTGTCTTTCGTCGCCACTCGAAATTCTCGAATTCATAAACCTATCCACCATTCTACTCCCCAACACTTGGCCTCCTCCTCCTCGATTTCCAACATGTTGTTGACTTTTATTATCCGAGTCAACTACTTTTCTACCTCTTGTCACACTAGGAGAGCACGATTGTCTTCTCAGGTTCGAACTCGCATCCTCTTTTTGCGGGCCCGCCGGAAGATAATTCTGATTCGTTGATCTTCCACGAGTTGTTGATGCTGGCCTATGATTGGTCGTTGTTCTTAGATTATTAGGCGGTGTGTTGTCCGATAATCCTCTGTTTTTGAGGTTGTTGATGCTTGAATTTGGTTCCATGGTCGTTGCGTTTTTTGTAAGGTTTATTAATGATGATGTTGGGAAATTCGGGTGGACTTTTTCGTTTGGGGTTGACTTAACTGGGATTGACTTTTTTTGATTTATAATTGGTGGGCTTTTCATGTTCTTGTTTTCGAATGACGGTGATATACTTGGCCTAGCGTTTGGGGTCGTGTATCGTTGCAGAAGTTTTGGCTTCGGTTTTGGAGATATTGGTATGCTACTTGCTTTTGTGCCTTGTGAACTTTCTGCAAACTGCATGTAGTACATATAATTGGTTTAGATGTTGGTATTTTTGTTTATTTCTATTTTTACCGAATGGCGATTGAATCTACGTTGATTACCATATAACTCTTTGTATTTTGTCAAAATTTTAAACTATTCTCCGTGTTCTTAACATTAATAAAAAAAAAAAAAAAAACTCTTATGACGCCTTTTTTTAACATGCAACAACCTAAATGATGAGATTTTCGTCGTAACTTGCTTAAAAAAAATTGAATTATAGGGTGTTGCCAATATTTATAGCACGATAATTACCATGAAATAAACTTGATCAAAAGTCAAAAAAAATAATTTTCTTATTTAAAAAATGTTTATGATTATACATAATAATTTGAAAACATACCCTTGAAAGAGGCTGGAGGATTGGTATTTCCCTCTGAATGACTAATTCTTGCCCATTTGTTTCCATCTCAAGTGATGGAAATAGTGGTGTTGCCGGCGGTGTTTTTAGCCTTCGAAAATGTTAAAAATGAATATAAATATTTAACCAAACATTAATTCAAATATTTCAACGGGTGTAGCATAGATTTACCAGTTGTAGTCATTTTTTCCAGTATCAAATCCCGCCCTTTTTCTTCCTTCCGATTCCATTCTATAGAGCCCATAGTTCCCTACACTTCACCACACTTATTTGAAAGAAAAAAAAATGTGTCTACGTGTGGGTACGCGCGTGTATTTGACACGAACTATCAAATTAGGACTCACCATTAGCTTCAAACTCTTCGGAAACGGGCTGAAGAAGGCTAGCAGCTTGCTCTTTCTCGCGCTTTTGAATATCCCGGAAGAACGATAGCTCTTCGTGTTTGTCCTTTATGCAATTTGAGATCATTCCACAAGCTCGAAAACCTTCAGCAGTTACTTCTCTTCTATGCATCATTACTTAATTAGTTTAACTAAGTTTTTTTTCTTTTTTTTTTTTTTTGTTTTTCATTTCACTCTTGTTCTTGTTTCTCGGCGTGATTAAATTGCTGATTTTTGAAAATTTTATAATGTGTCGGACAATTCTAAGTTACTTGATTGTCCTTGTAGGAAATTAAGCATGCTATAATTAATTCATGATCTTATATAGGGGGATAGTGACATAATAGTATGTGTCAACAAATAATATCAAATAAACCGGCCGAGTCAACTTCAGCATAAACAAATGAAGGGAATATTTTGTAAAAAGAAATTGAGATTCTTGTAAGAATACATTTGGCAACTTTTGTGGGAATTGCAGGCTGGACATCCACACTTGAAGAATATGTCAAAAACAATCTCAACCGCTGCAACACAATTGTTCATAAATTGATCAAATTCATGTACAAATTAAAATCAAGGTTATAAGAAATAAATATTTCATCGAACTTGCATAAATCTATGTTTGAACGAATCTCAGACCGATTAATTAGACACAAACACTGCACAATTGCTCGATTCTTAGCTTAAATAGTCTTAAAATAGGAGTTTTACCCGAACCAGATAGCTTTCCAAAACCTTTAGAATCAGATCATTTGGAGTTTATATGAGTGAATTAGGACCAATATTGTGAACACTGCCAAAATCGTCCTTTTAATTTATCCTCCAAATGTTTATTTTGCCTCCGAAACTTGTATTTTTCACCGCCATTATTCGTTCTTTTTATACGTGTTTACCTATAAAAACACTAAAAACACCAAAAGCACATAAAAAGAATAAAATTTACTAAGAAACGAGCAATAATCCATGTCAGAAAGTAATGAACTGGAGTCCAAATCATGCACTCATCAAACAACTTTACATAATAACGCAAACCGAGCCAATCTAAATTTTCGTGATTAATTAACATGATCTACAAGCTGATAGTTAAATGCCACGGATTTGTACAACGAACAAAAGTTCTTCACCTGCAGAAACCGTCTAATGCAATCGGAATGATATTCATGCTTGCACTCGAAAATTCCGATATTATTAATAATCCCATGATTATTATTTTGTTGGCACAAAGCATCGAAACAAACCGCACAAACTTCCCTATCTTTATTAGGGTCTCGAATATTACGAATATGAGGACAAGAATTAATCTTTATTTTCAGACACCTTGTGATCTGATCTTTGGACAAACCATCGGTAATAATACTGAGGGCCGTCTGATCTAGTTGAACTCTATTTTGTACGCTAAAATAGAGTCCATGTAATATTGTAGTAGGAGTTTGAACTTCCTATATGTCTATACATATTTTTAGGGGAGTAAATGAGTTCATTCGTATTTTTTTTTTTTTTTTGGGTTAAATACACTATATATCCTAAAGTACACCTTATGTAACACTTTGATATTGAATTTTATTTCCAATAATATAAGTTTAGTTCATTTTCAATTTTATTATTTTATATGATCCGATAAAGATTAGATTGTTATGTGTTTTATTCTAGCAAAGAAAGATATTTTTTTTAAACTTTGCATTGATTTTTCAATTTATTTTTTGGATAAATTATTTGGATTATTTTGAACTATTCCATCCGATAAAAGTGGACATATTTTAAGAGTATTATTATATTAAAAAAAAAAGATATTACATGGTTTGAAATTTAAAATACAAAATTATTGATGTTTGAGGGGCAAGTGTTGCAAGTGATGCACTAAGTTGATAATAATAATTTATTAATATAATTGTTTTTTTTATTAAAAGACCACGTAACAATAGAGGTTGAAACTGGATAAAAATATAAATTGATTGACATTAAGATTTTTGAAAATTATTAAAATCAAATGAAAAAATTAATAAAAACTAATTTCAAATTCATTCCACAACAGTGAGATAAATATAAAAATTGGACTGGTTAAATGAAAAACTAAAAATAAATGAAAACATAAACTATAACTAGAGCAAATGAATAATTTGTTGCTAATCGTAGGAGAGAGAGAGTACAATACATTTTGCCACATGTCATCAAATTAGTGGAATCGGCCTTATATTTCTCTATTAAGTGACAGTCCGTCCCCAATGCCATCCCTATTTGGTATTTTAATGTGATTTTTTGTAATTTTATATATATAAACATAGGAGAGAGAGAGAGAGAGAGAGAGAGAGAGAGAGAGAGAGAGAGAGAGAGAGAGAGAGAGAGAGAGAGAGAGAGAGAGAGAGAGAGAGAGAGAGATGAATGATGTGTATTGCAGTTAATAAATATTCCATGATAGGGGAGATTATTCTGCCACATCTTTGAGAGATGAGATTTCAAGTTGCAGAAGACAAGAGTCGTTCACAATATATCCCTTTTTAGGATCTTCCATAGTTTCAATCTCCATGAATTTATACAGTCCCTCAGTGGAAAAAGTTGTAAACACGCAATCTTCTGCAAGAAAAACAAATTTAGCTAGTATTTGATTAGAGAGATTCAAGGAGGAATATCGACAACAATACAAACCCTTATGTTTTGTAACTTACTGATTGATTTCTCGTATTCATTATCAAAAACCTGGTCTTTCATACGTACTGTAAAACATGCTTCCACTCTTCCATAACCAAGATAACACAGAATGATCCTGACGTGGGTGTATTTTGTATAAACTCCTTTCGGGTAAAGATTAATCCGCCTTCATTTATCAATAGAAATACTCATGTCAACAATGGAATAAGTGCAAGGATATAACACACATTGTTCCAAAATAAAAAAAATAAAAAAAAGCATAGTACCATTTTCCGCCTCCAGCACCGAATTCCTCAGATTCCCATCTATATCCGATTTTGGAGTAGTTTGGAATAATCCAATCACGTTTGTAAGGAATGTCAACATTTCTTGAAGACACGAATTGAGTGGTTGCTTCTTTTTTAGCCACAAAAACCTCAGCGCCAAACACACATGACTTGTCACCGACTACATATCCGTTTGATGGATCTGTCAGACTTTCCTTTGAAATAAATTTTGAAAAACCCCATTTGGACTTCATTCCTATGAAACGTCTTGTTCTTCCTGCCCATATATATACAGTAGAACCTCAATAAAAAAATAACCTTGATTATATAATAGTTTTGTCTCGGTAAAAATGTGTTAAATTATTAACTCGATAATTTAATGACTCTCTAAATTAATAGAATTTCTCTAGTCCCGACTACTTGTTTTGTAACTTAAGTAAACAATTAGTCATCATATACGGTTCAATTGTAATTAGCTAGAGAACAAGAATAGTACCTAGTGAAGAAAGATACTTGCCGGAAATATGATTAAAGAGAAAGATACTGAAGACAGCATTGATCTCCACAGGTTGAGAACATGTGTCTACCATAGCCAAATATACAGAAACATAGCCGCTATCTTTGCCAACGTTGTCGTCTCCATTAGGATAGATTATTAGTTTCCTGAACAAGTTCAACCATCTTTCATTATTTTTTGATTTTATCAAGCAACAATTGCGTAATATATACATTAAGCTTAAGCTGTTAGTGAAATGTATCATTTAATATTAATATCTACAATACTCAAAGCGTTAGCATACAAAATACCACTTATATTCCCCAGCCGCAAATTCCTCCGTTTCGTATTTCTCAATTTGATACTTTTCAAATAAGGAGAATGATTCAATCTTAACCAACAAATGTGCAGGTGGTGCCTCTCTTGTTTCCATTCTGCTGAATTCTGCAGATTTAAGCAATATATACTAATTTTTTTATCACACACACACACACACACACACATATATATATATATATATATATATATATATATATATATATATATATATATATATATATATATATATATATATATATATATATATATAATATGAGAAAGAAAAGAAAAGAAAGAATTAGTTTTGTGAATATCATAAAATACATACCATGAAATTCTGGTAACACTGGTATCACAGACATAATGATTCAATCTTTTCTAGTTTGTCTAATTCGTCTGGGAAGAATTATAATGAGGTTCTTTGTCACATTTTATACTAATAATGTACAAAGTCAATGGTGTTTATTGACAAGTTCAAATCACAATCTTGACCAAGTCTCAAAGAAAGTACCACTAGATATAATACAATATTAAGTTATCAGACATTAGAGTTTTTGTGTTAATTAATTAAAAGCAAGTGAAAGCAAGAATTATTGTATAAACAGAGTGGAAATTAAACCATTTTAAAACTACAAGTCTTGGCATTAAAGTTTAATCCTAACACGTTAGAGAATCCAATGCTCAATCAATGACAATGAAATGGGAAAATAAATTGCTATAAAACTACAAGTCTTTAGTTGTCACATGAAAGTTTAATACTACAAAATATAATTGTAGTATAAAAAAAAAAAAAATGGTGCAAATGTCTCCCAATTTTAGAGAAGTTTGAAATCTTCAAATCACACAAAGGCCGGCCTATGTAGCGCGGAATTTTCAACTTTATAATATTTTTGCAGCGCGGAAACTTTCAACTTCATAACATGTTCGACATCTTATGTGTCATTTTGGAATTTCTCAAAAGTTAAAAACATGTTGAATAGTAAATCTTTAAATATTTTTGTTGCTTCCTTAATTACTTACATGGTCTGATAATCAATTGCAAGCTTGTAGTTGATAGTAAAGTTTATTTAAATATAGGGAGCAAATTTACACCGGACTGCCTATTTTTATTGAAAAATCGGATTCCACTTAACAATGGACACGTGGATAAAAAACATGGTTGTTATGCTCCTAATTAGTAGGCATTTTAAAATATAAAAAGGGATTATTTGTCAAAAGCCCCCCATTACACAAGTCTAATTACAGTAGGTCCAATTTTTTTAGAACTTTTTGAGATAAATCCATTTCAGTATTAAATAATAAAAAATAATAAATTATCACTATTATACCCCTAATTTAAAAGTAACGTATGTTTTATGATTCGAAATAAAAAAAAAAAACAAAAAAAGATTTGTAATATCTTTTCCTATTATATCGTAACAACACATCCTCATATAATTCCACGATTGCGCCCCTCAATTACAGAAAAACCGTTTCAAAGAAATCTGTATTATTTCCACACATCCTCTACCGATCCGATTGCAGGAGCAGAACGTTTTGTCTCAACAAAATACAGAGTGGTTTTTGTGCTTTTACGCAAACTCTCTAAGTGCATAATAGTCATGTTATTATTTCTTTTTTGTGTTCGAGATTATGTTAACATGAATGCAACTGTTTTTTTCCCGGCCATTGTTATGTGGTTGTTAGCATATAGCCGAACGAACCTTTCATAATACAGAGTGGTGTTCACAAATAATAGCTGACACCCACACTACAAGAAAACTGGGCTTCACCGACAGAAAATTTTGTCGGTGATCGAAGAAAATTTGTCGCTGATTACGATCACCGACGGATTTGCCCACGGAAAAATTCGGTCGGTATAACCCCCGCCGCTAAATGGTATCGACGAAGTTGTTTCCGTCGGTAAAGTAGCAACTGAATGTCCGTCAGTAAAAACATAACTTTCCGTCGCAAAAATAGGTATCAACATCCGTCATTTTTCGTCAGTAAAAAAGTTCAAATTACCAACCAAACTTTTCCGTCAGTAAATCATTGGTAAATTTTATCGACCGATTACGAATTCGGTCGGTAATTCACTGACAAACAATTCATCCAAATTTTCGTCGGTGCAAAATCACCAACAAAAAAATACAGTCGGTATCAACAAACATTCTGTCAGTGATTCATTAACTAATTATGCCAATCGGAATTTTCATTGGTGAAAAATTATTTTAAATTATTATTGATTATTTATAATCAATATCACCTAATTTACATAATTTACACTCATGTGCTTTAAACTAGCATAAATATCAGAAATATAAATCACTCATACATGGTTATAAACAAATGCTACAACCATTTACATAAAAAGCTCAACTCGATAAATATCTGTGTACATCAACAAATACAATAAAATTTCATTCGTTCTCCACATGAATCATGTTTAGAAATATTTACACAAAGCTCTCAGATGAAGCAGTCACGATGTCGTCATTCTCCCAGAATTGACCCAGAGACAATCAATCCACACGTTGAAAAGTTTTGATGACAATCACCTAAATTGGCACCATAAAAACTACA